TTCAAAACGCGTGGATATATGAAATCCGTCATTCAAGTATACAACCTAAAATACCTAAAGCGCTGTATACATACTATTTTCACACCATCTATGTTGCTCTATTTCGGATATTCATAAAAACCTAACAGCACCGCCGAATACCCGCTTAAAACGAACGCATAGTTATCGCAAAGTTCACAACGAGTGTGTCGAGAAAGAAAGGAAACCGCTGAGAGGTGACGGAGGTGAGCCAGCGTGGCGCCGCGCCTGGAGCGTAATCGGCATCGATGCTGGGGGATCCTCTTAACCGTGGGCGAACGCCAATCCATAGTAGCAATAGCATCAGCAGCGGTAACATAATATCCACTTGTTACTGAGTAGCGATACGCGCGTATAGGGACAACCGTATACGCGGGACATTATTCAGACCGCAGCGCCGTTTCCTCGAAAACGAGGGGCGCTGAGTGCCGAGCCACGGGGATGGGGGAGGGTAAAAACGAGGATAGAGATAGATGCGCGAAAGGATCAAGGTTTGAGAGAGCCACGGGTGAGGGTCGGAGTGAAACGGAAAACGGGGAGGTGAAGGAAAAGCCCAGGGAAAGAGAATAGAAGGGAGAAAGAGAGGCTGCGCCACGTCTCGCGTAACGAGCTGCCGGCTCCCTAGGGTGTTCAGCTCCTCTACGCTCACATCCCCAACCGGTTCGTCTCCTCGTCTGGTATCATCTCTACCTCCGTGCCCTCGCAAGCGCCCACGTACCTTCTTTCAGAGGAATCGTTTTATTTTCTTTGCCGAGTGAGAGATACCCCCGGCTAGTCGACGTTGCTATTCGTGGTGTATCAATGGTGACTCGTTCTGTGATCCACCATGACGGAGTTCACGATATCGTACCGTACGGCTTCCTTGGCACTTTAATATCCACTGAATTAGCGGTATGTATTGGTCAGTGGAATTACTTAGAGTTATTTTTATGAGAAGAGCCTATTAACAGTAATTGTTAGATTTAGAGAAATAAGGCAAACAGAAGTTTTTTGAGTGCAGCGGTCTTAAAATTTTGTTTCACTTTCAATAACATTGGAGGTGCTTGTAGTTTTTGTATCTGTAGTTTCATTTCTGAACGAAATGCACAACGATTTTCATATTCTTGATTTTTCAGTGACTAGACTGCAGCATTGTACTAAAAGGCATGTTTGCGACCCATAGATAGTTTCAGTTGAGTCCGAGAACGCGATTATAAAAAGCGGCGAGCACACACCTTCCGTATACCGCTTTTGTGCTCAATTCTCATCGCCTTTCTCTTTTCATCTGCATGTATTCAAAGCCCGATAGACAATAGACTGAAGCAGGAATATAAAGAAAAGTAACCGAAGGGAAAGGGAAGGTTGAGGCGTTCGTAGAGAACTCGGTAATGACTGTCGCTACTTTTCCACCATGTCGGAAGCGCATTGCGCCATTTCCGCTAGCCCGGAAGTGCGGTAACAAAGCGCTTCCGGCACGCGGTCTCGAGGAGGTTGTTACGACGGGGCCGTAGCGTAGGGACACTCCGTGACATTTCAATGAACTTTGCGGCACAGTCATTTTCTCCCTAAAGTTCATCGGGTCTAACATGTGTTTTGGGGGTTGACGAACTTTCGACACTACATTTCTGGCTACGTTGAAGGATTAAAGACGAGCGATATTACGGCAAAGTTCAGGGAATGCTCGCGAATTGGAACAACGTAAACATCGGAGTACTGTTTCGGTGGTAGAGATCGTAATATTCGAACCGTGTCACTTTAGAATAGTGATATTAACACTGAAACACGCAGAAACACTGATAAACTCTTTAGCATTCCACTAACAATAGATTACTCATACTTCGAACCAACTATTATGAAACAGATGCTTTCAATTTTTAAAAATCACTCTACCCAACCATTCCACGGCTGTGTACAATTTCTAAAAGTTTGAAAATCCAAAGAAACATTCACATCGCAAAACGATCGGAAACAATAAAAAAAATATATCAACACGAAGACATCAAGACTGATATAACTCCTGAAGTTCACCAAAACTAGTGACGTCATTCGATTTTGATCATTCGATCGTATTCACTCGAAGGAATATACTCGAATAATCCAATCAACGATGTCGTTGATTTCACTCGTAACGATCTATCGTCCATCCATGCACAAATCCCCGGTTATCGGACGAGCGTACAGTTACCGATTTGCGTACGTTGCGAGCGTATATGCCACTCGACATCGAAATAAAAGGAATCTCCTTAAGAATGGCTATACGATAACATCGGCTATAGCGTCGAGTTATCGCGCCGCGGATCGCGCCAAACGTGCCAGTATCGTATTGTGCCCGCTGCCGGCTGGAGTGTCTGGCACTGGTCCCGAATTCGAAACGGAACGCGTGCATTCCTATTACTTTTTCCGAACGAGCCTAGCGGCCGACGAAGAGGGACGGTCCGTATAAAAGAAGCGCGGGGGTGAGAGGTGGGAGTAACGGCGAGCGGGGGGCGACAGGGGGCTTGAGGCCAGTGCAGCCACCGCCATTTTATGAAAATTGCACCTCCCCGTTCCAGCTGCCCCGAGCGTTCAGGCGAAATATGTTACTTCCATCTCGCGATTAATAGTCGTTATTTTATTTCGAATAACTGCCCCCGCCGAACGCTGCGCGCTGGAAACTAGCCGGAGCAACTTTTCATGGACCGTGTTCATTTTTTTCCTTCCCTTCGTTCACCAACCGCCCCCACCACCAAGCCCTCTCGAAAGGGATGATGACCGGGCTATTAAAAATCTTTCAGCCGCGATTATCTTCGATCAGTCGAATGGGAATTTTTACGATACACGCATATTTCATCCCGCCGATTTCGATACGGTGAATATCGATTCCGGGGACACGTGCTCTTCTACTTGAACGTGAACGGATTTGTTACAGAATCGTTCTACCTTTTGAAGTGCGCTCGCGTTTTCGGATCTTGGAGCTAGTCGATCGTTCAAAGGAATATACCGAAACGGTAAAATGTAAATAAATAAGTACACATGGAAATGCTGAAAATGAGAGAAATGTGAAATGAACCAGTGGTGATATATTATTGAAAATACTATCGAGTCCTGTCTAAATAATTCAGTGATCTAATATCCACATCGTTATTTAATCGTTGCTGTTTAGTTATACTTGCTGTGTGAACCGTATTTGAATAACATATAGAATTATGATTAAACCTTTCTTGTCAGTATGCAAAAACGTAAGGAATTCATCCTCGTAGTATATAAGAAAGAAAATAATGTAACATGCTTTCTTTGGTTCTCGTAATTCGTGTTTAAAATATCACGTAACGTAAAATAAATAAATCACAAATTTCGTATGAGCGCTCCCGAATTTGCCTCGCCTGCGTCCGTATTCAACGAACATTATTACTGTATAATTAATATCAATCAATTCGTAGTATAATACCCACAATATCATTATTATTAGTCATCCGTTATCCGTACAGTGTTTCCACCAAATAGCTCTCATTCAGAGCGGCGCCCAATTTCCCGTCAGACGCAATGAAATTCCAACAGTGGCTCGCCCTTGTCGAATAATAGTGTCAAATTACGACCCGGTTATAGAAGAGTCTTTCAAACTGAAATAACAAAATTTTCATCGCGGCAATCCAACCGATATACGCGCGCGAGCGCGGCTCGTTAATACGCCAGATGCGTGATTATCGGCTGCCGCGGTAAATCGTGATTTCCGAGGTCGCGTCATAATTTATGCGTTTCCGGCTCTTGACGGCGGG